TTTTTTTAAAAAAAAAATGTGAGGAACAGAAAGTACAGATAATTGTGTGAAAATGTAAGAAGTAGAAGTAAAAAGTAGGCTGAAAAATAATTACTCAAGTAAAGTACAGACACCCAAAAATTCTACTTAAGTACAGTAAAGAAGTATTTGTACTTAGTGACTGTAGAACTCTGATACTGCATGTTCTAAACACAAAGAATCATTAATTAAACAGGGCTTACATGATCTACGATGGAGCGGAGCAGCTGCATGTCAGAGACTCTGGAGCCTGAACTTCTTTCCAGTTGTAAATGAAGAGCCGGGCTAAATGGGACTCCTGCTAATTTCAGACCTGGAATTCTGTTGCACAGAATCATCCAATAAATACACACAGCAAGACACACAGAAACATTTTGTGGAAGAGTTTTGATTAAATTCTTGTGTTTTCTCAGTTTGCAACACTATGTAGCCCTCTAGTAGCGTCAATTGAGGCACCTCCCATTATTTAAGTTGTCCATCCCTGACCTCATCAGAACACCCCACCCCCAAAAAAGAAAAAAAAAGAAACAGTGGTTCGATAGACGAAACTCAGAGACAGACCTGAATAGATTTACTGCCGCAACTGCTGCAAAAGGTAGCTCTACAAACGAACTAACTTTAGGGGATGAATATTTCTGCATATTCAGGATTTGATATTTTCCCCTCATGTAGGGTTGGGCAATATTGGCAAAAAATTAATCATGATTAATTGTGGTATTTAGCCGGTAACGATTAATTTGACGATTAATCCCCTGGAGTCCCTGGACACGCTTATTTCATAGTCACATGACCAATTTAGTGAGAAAGATTTGCTCTTCATAAAAATCTGTTCCAAATTGTGTCAAAATTACAGACTTCAGGCTGTACATCAAAATTTAAATTGTGCTGTTAGATGAATAAATGACAGAACTTTTTTTAATGTTCGTCATATTTGAAGCGGAGAGGAGCGGACTGACTGCCTGCTGGCATTAATCGTATTAATCGTCAAGTGCCTAAAAATAATCGATTAATATTTTTCTGATGATTAATTGCACACGATACGATTATGCTCAACCCTACCCTCATGTATTACAAAATAATATATACTTTGAATTTTTAATGTAGTAGCTAGAGCTGGGCAACACAGTGGTTCGTACCAAAAAACATTTTTACTTTTACGATATGAATTTTCCATTTGCTGGCATCCTGCTTTAAATAGACTGTCTCAGATGCTAACAGTGGACTGGAGTATCAACTGTCTATGAGAAAAAAAACTGTCTCACCATCATGCCAGCAGGATCAGACATCTACTTTAGTCCTTGCTGGAGTATAACCAGCCCTTAACTGATTCTCTTAAAAAGAAAGAATTTCAGCTGGGTCACACTGCCAACATAAACTTACCCCTGTAAAGCCTTGTAAACATGCTTGCACTTTTCTCTGAGGACAGTGAAAATATCTGCAGAGCAAAAGAAAGAAAAACATCTGAGTGTGACTTCACGTCTAAACATATACTTCTAATCAGCAGGAATCAGGAGTGGAAAGTCGCCTCTAAGGAGCAGCTTGCCTCGAGGATCTCTACGAACGAGGACAACAAACAGTGAAATGAGGAAAACAACAGATTTGGTACCTGGATCCTCCTCCATTATGTTCAGAGCCTCAATGGCAGCAGCAGCCAGCATCGGAGGCAGGGAGGCTGAGAAGCAGTAGCCCTGTCCTGACAGACGCTAAAAACACACACATAAAACACACACATGACTCGATTTTACTAAAGCACTGTTAATAACTTGATCCACTTATTGATGAAGCATTTCTCCTTCTGGTTTATCACCAAGAGTCAAATTATTCATGAAAACCTTTTAATAGATAATACCATTTCCTCTAAAAAGTTACTTTTTAAACAAATAAAACTTAATGTGTTCCAAAGTATTAATAAGCTTATATTTAAGTGTCAAAAGGTTTTGTTTTTCAGTTAAACTCTTGGAGGGCATTGTGTTTCACTACAAGAAATTTGAGAAAGAACAAAGATCTCTGCTGAAAAACATGCAATATCTTATTCAGAGAACACACGGGTTTGTGCAGACAAAGACACGAAGAGGAAGGTTTCTAACAGAAGTACACAGAGCAGCTGTTAAAACACCGTCACAGAGCAGCAAACAGAAGCTGCTGGTGCCTCTGGAGTCCTGGGAACATCAAGGTGAAGGATCCTCCAGAGGTTTGCAGACTAATCTTCTGTTCAGCCGCCCCTAACCAACGCTCACAAACACAAACAGCTGCAGCGGACCCACAACTATATGAAGACTCATTTTCAAACAGTCTTGTTCACTGATGAGTGCTGTGAAACCCCGCATCATTTCCTCCTAGGAATGTAAACATTCACTCAATTCAGTTATTGATTCTACATTCAGCTGTTTTTAACTAAATGAATTGTCATTTTATAAAAAAATGTTTTTTTTCCTTTTAACATCTGAATGTTTGTTCTTGTATCAAACTGTAACTGTCTGCTGTCTTAAAGTCCTGTCACACTGTAACATTCTAGACAACTTATACAAACCTATGAAATATTTATGACTAAATTACTCTTATAGGTTATGTATTTAATTTAATCGTAACCATTGTATTGTGTACACGTCATCGTTTTTTATTCCACCTTCAGTGTAGAGATCTTCAAAGTTGAACAAAATGTTCACAAGTTGTCTAAACATAGTGTGACAGGGGCCTGGTCACACTATATATAATGTTTAGACAACTTTGAAGACTTATGAACATTTCGTTGTAATTATTTTACTCATTTTGGCTTTATAATAAATCTAATATGTATAAGTACAAAAGAGTCTTTCAGTGACTTTTTTTTTTTAATCCATCTTGCAATTAGACATATTTAGTGTTAGACAAACTTTTTACAAGCTGGCATTAGTTGTGTAAAACATTATAGTGTGACAGGCTCTTTACAAAACATAACTTTTTAAATAAATATAAATTTAATAACAAATCCTTTTGGGTCTACAAGTTATCAATAGGGCTGTGAAATTATTCGAGTTAACCCTGATTAATTTTAGTGCTGCATGGGCATGATTAAAATTTTTAATTGCAATTAAAATTTACAATCACTTTACTACGGCTGAATATGTAGGTTTGTATATTGCGATGCACTCAGTGCATGCCAGGTCATGTTTGTAAATGAGAAGTGGTTCTCAAACAGTTTACTTGGATAAATAAAGGTTAAAAAAAAATAAAAAACTCCATGTGTAACACATTATGTACAGTTTTTTTGTCTTCTTATGGCTTATTTTATTTTATTTATTTATGTTTTGCTGACAACTGTGACCTTAGTATCTATCTTTCATTCACTCATTTGAAATGAAAATCCTTGAATTCTTGATTTAACCTCATTATTCTGCACAAAATTTAACTGACTCAAATATGTTTGGAGCATTTTTTAGGTGGTTTTATATTCAAAAAATCATGTCTAAGCATCAATTTTGTTTTCTAAATAAAAACATTAAAAACTAATTAATAACTCAATTTATTTTATCGACATGCAATAGAAATGCATATTAAATTCAAGATTAATCATGATTAATTCATAGCTACTTTAAGATTAATCAGATTAAAAATAATCATTTGACAGCCCTAGTCATCAAGTATCAAACTGAATTTGTCTTAAAGGCTTTAACTTATTGCTAGAAAATAACAATGAAATAGATTCATTTATTTTATGAATCAATTTGCATTTTAGACGGTAATTTTCAACAAATAATCGATTCTTGATTAATTGTTACATCCTGTTCTCCATGCACAAAAACTGTCCAGGGTCCTTCCATGAGTTCTTTAGGTTGTCTTTATAAGTTTTGCTGGAACAGATGTAAAGATGGCCACTTTTCTTAAACACAATCACATAATACTTGGCCCAAACCCTGTTTAAACCTAGATAGGTCGGGGGGCTCTGCGCAAGTCAGGGTCTCAGAGGGGAGTGTGAGAATAAAAAAAAAAAAAAAGCTATTTTCATAATGCAACCATGTCAGCAGGACACAATTTCTCACATCTCATGGACTGTAAAGCAAGTTTTAATCAGTGAATACAAAAAAACTGCTGCACATGTATATACAGTATAACCTGGTTGATACCACTACACCATGACTCAATCCAGAAAATCACATTTTATTCACCTGATGGTCGATAACAAAGGAACGTCCACAGCAGAAGCCACCAATAGAGGCCACAGCATTCTCCATGTTGGCACTGATAAGATCAATGTCATCCATCTGCGTACAACAGAAAAGTGCTGAGTTATATCACATTAAACTGTAATAGCAGCAAAT